CAGCCTTGTCGTCTTCTTGTTTAGAGCTGTTACTCCTTTCTTCCAATTAAGCCTCTTATTCAAATTTCAGAGGAATCCTCCTGGCTATGGAGCATCAACGGCTAAACTTCCTATTTTCCAATGTACTTATGAGTTTAATTATTTTAACTATGTCTTTTCTGTCAGTTCTAGGGATTTGTGGCATAGAGAAGGCTTCAATGTGTATCAAATCCACTCTTTTTCTTTCTTCTTTGTCTCTCCTTCCTTCTCCCTCCCCCTTCTTCTTTCCTTCCTCTCTTTCATTTATTTCTTTCCAGTGGTGCTAACAGCCAGATTTAATTACTTAGCTAGGTAGAGAAGAAATACAATTTTAAGTGAGAGGAGCTGAGAAAGGAAGATGATACATTTTCAGGCATAGTAAAAGAGTTTTGGGAGCTCAGTGTTCTGATTCTAATAGAATGCTAAGCCTGAAAATTTATGAAAGTTTGATTTCTCACCAAGGTTTGCTTATTTCATGTTGGTTTTGAATTTGTCTTGAATTTTTCCAGTATTTACGTGAATTTCTAAGATCTGTTGGTAGACTGTGCTAAGCTTACAAGGTTCCAAAGTTATATTCAAACACTGCCACCTTGTGGGCCATTCCTCGTCTCCCCATTTTACCCATGAAACCATCTCACAGAAATAGAGCCACATCCAAGAGTCCAGTTGTCCTCTAAGTGCTAAGAGCTGTCCTAAGAGATTTACATATTTAATCTCATTTACACTTCTTAAGAACTTTATGAAGTACTATTAACCCTATGTGAGAGATGATGAAACTAAGCTTAGAGAGATTATGTAACTTGCCTGAGGTTTCACAGCTAGGAAGATGAGAAATAAAATTTTGTATCTAAGCAGCTTGCCTCCAGAACCTTTGTCTCCATGTGTAAAACCACAAATATAAAAACAAAACAGTGTGAGATACATGATATTAATAAGTTATAGAAGCAGTATCAAGGGAATAATTGTGAGGAAAGGCTTCACAGATTTCTAAGGAGGTGATCTCCTATAAGTGAGAATTTGAAGGATAATCATCCTATAGGAAGAATGCAGCTGGGACCGCGTCCCCTGAATCCAAGAGTACAGAAACAGCTTGTGATGGCCTATTGTTTTGTTTGCCTTGCATCCTTCCCTCTTTGGGGGAAGTACTTTTTTTTTTTTTTTTTTTTTTAGTTGGAGTCTCACTCGGTCACCCAGACTGGAGTGCAGTGGCCGCTCCTGGCCACCGCATCCTCACCTGCTGGGCTCCGGCGATCCTTCCGCCTCAGCCTTCCGAGTAGCTGGAATTACAGGCATGTGCTACCATGCCCGGCTGATTTTTTGATTTATTGTAGAGATGAGATCTCGCTGCCCAGGCGGGTCTTGAACCCGCGGGCTCAGGCAATTCACTAACCTCAGCCTCCCAAAGGCGCGGGATGACATGCTGAGCCACTGAGCCCGGCTAAGGGGGAAGTACTCTTAACTCTGCTTTAACCATGAATCTTACAGAGGTTGCCAATCATGATATCCTTGACTCCTCACTTAATACAAGTCAGTTTGCATCCAATAGGTCCCTGGAATTTTTATGTTCAAGACAGAGGGCTCGGTGCTCTCTTCCCTGAGAGCATAGCTGAGGTGAGGCACGTGCCAGCCAGTGTTCTCATGTGGAGTAGAAGAGAATAAGGCCAAAAAATAAGGTTCCAGTCACTTCCAGCATACCTGTACTGCGGACCGTCCTGTAGTAACCCACTCATTCTTACAGAAGCTTATCAGGTTTGGGTTTCTAAGTTCTAGTATTTTCTCTTTTGCCAACAGTTGAAGTAGGGGCAGCACTGTCATTCCTTACTCCTACATAACCCCAAAGACAGCAAAATATATACATATATAATGATAAGTTAGTTATGAAGGATAGTGCTTTTAATTTATTTTGGAAAACTGCCATTTAGAGAGTTTACTACAGATGTTGTATGGCTTAAAGACCTTTCTGTAGTGCTCTATTTCTGATGCCAGCACTATTCTTTTTCTACTCCCTCCCCCATCACTGCAATTTTCTAAAGCCATCTCCAGTTTTGTCTTTTCCTGTAAGCCTACTTTAGAAAATCTAGTCAATTATTTTTCTAAACTTTGACTTTTAAATCATTAAGTAATATTTAATGATCACAAAATTCAAAATTGTAGAAATTTAGAATCATCCATAATCCATCACAGAAATAATCACTGTTACTGATATATTTTGATCTATTCTTTCATCTGTAAACACATTTTTCTTTTCTTTTTCTTTTTTTTTTTTTGAGTTGGAGTCTCATTCTGTCACACAGGCTGGAGTACAGTAGAGCCCTCATGGCCACCGCAGCCTCAACCTGCTGGACTCAGGGAATCCTTCCAACTTAGCCTTCTAAGTAGCTGGAACTACAGACACCACCATCACACTCGGCTAATTTTTTGATTTATTATAGAGACGAGGTCTCACCAAGTTGCCCAGGCTTGTCTCAAACCCCTGGACACAGGCAATCCTCTCACCTTGACTTCTCAAGGCGCTGGAATTACAGGATTGAGCCACGGTACCTGGCTACATTTTTCAAAAAACCAAATTTTGATTTCTTCCTCTCCAACCACATCTGGAATATATTTTTTTATTTAATTGTATTTCATTTATACTATATCCTAATTATTTCAAGATCCTGTCCTGTAAATAACCAGTACTTCTGAAGGCACCTAATTTTCCTAGGAAAGGAGGAGCAATTTTACATCCCTTGGTCTGGAATCTTCTTTCTTTCCTGCTTCACTTAGTATCTCCTACTTGTTCTTCAGATCTTAGTTCAAGTGTCACTTCTTTTTTTTTTTTTGAGTTGGAGTCTCACTCTGTTGCCCAGGCTGGAGTGCAGTGGCACACTCACTGCTGCCTCAGCGTCGACCTGCTGGGCTCCCGGGATCCTTCCACCTCAGCCCTCCAAGTGGCTGGAACTACACATGTGCGCTACCATGTCCAGCTAATTTTTGATTTATTGTAGAGACGAGGTCTTGCTAAGTTGCCTGGACTTGTCTCGAATTCGTGGGCTAAGGCAATCCACTTGCCTTGGCCTCTCAAAGTGCTGGAATTAAAAGCTGAGCCAGTAAGCCCAGCCCAAGTGTCACTTTTTTTGGAAATTAGATATATCATAGCATCCTTTGCAATACTTGCAAATTATTTTTATGTTTAGGATTATCTGGGTCTACATGCGTTCTTGTTAACTATTAGATTCCCAGTGCTTACTACATGTTGCCTGAGACTTGGCAATTGCTAGATGAATGATTTCTTGGAGTAATTCAGTTGTTAAGGAAATTATAAACAGTAGCACTGTTAATGAGGTATTATTGCGGGCTAGGCTGTCTGCAAATTTTCACAATTTCAAAATGTGCTACTTCTATTTTGCAAATAAGTAAATGGAGGCTTCAGAAAAACTAATTAACTTGCTCAGATACAAATAAGAAACAAAAGATTTGAACTTAGGCCAATATATTTATTGACATTATTAGCTTTATTTTCCACTCACTGGCTTCTTTGTTCATGAATATGATGAAAGTCACCATATGTAGCTTAGTTTCTTTTTTTTGAGTTGGAGTCTCACCGCTGCTCAGGCTGGAGCTCAGTGGCACGCTCACGGCCACCGCAGCCTCCACCTGCTGGGCCCAGGTGATCTTTTCGCCTCAGCCTTCCAAGTAGCTAGTACCACAGGCATGAGCCACCACGCGCGGCTAATTCTTTGATTTATTGTAGAGACGACGTCTCATCATGTTGCTCAGGCTGGTTTCCAAACCCTGAGCTCGGGTAATCCTCTCGCCTCCACCTCCCAAAGTGCTGTGATTAGAGGCGTGAGCCCCCGCGCCCAGCCTAGCTTATTTTCAAAAATTACTAGATCCTTACATTACCAACCAGTTTTGGTTTTGCAGATAGGAAACTAGGGCATTTAGCATAAAGAGCAAAGAAACAGAATGTTGCATTCGGAAGGGCAGCGGGAGAGCTGGATCCTCGTCTGCGTCCTTTACTCCTTCACAAACCAGCTGTGTGGCTTTGGGTTCCCACAAAGAAGGCTGCAGAAAAAGCGAGCAAAGCTGAATGGGCCTTAAGAAGACATGGGGTGCAACTCCCTCATTCCACAGATGAGAAAGACTAAGTAAGTGGCTCGTGAAATTTACAACGTGGCAGAGCCGTGCATCCAACTCCTGACTCCTAGTGTTTGTCCTGAGTCGCACCACCCCTCCGTGAACAAACATTCCCGAGTGCCAGCTTTATCACTAGCAGTGTGTCTCCCATTCGGTGTCCTAGTGCTGACTACTGGCTACTGCCCTCTCTAATACTTTTCAGCTCACTTTTTAAATGGTCCTTGGACTCAGAGTTAAATTGGAAAAAGCGTAGTGCAAGCCTGCGGTCGGGCTCCGAGCGGCGTGACACGAGGCGGCGGCGATCTGGGAGGGCGGCGATGCCTTCTGGTCAGGGAGTGACTCCCGGATAATCTGGGCGTGCTGCGAGCCAGACAGGGGCGAGGCTGGGTCCCAAGAGACAACGCCTTGGGCTCGCCAGTGACCCCACCGCCGGGACTACAGAAAGAAACCCTTTTCTGCGTACGATGCCTATGCATCTGGCTCCTGCAGTGTGGTGGGGACTGGTGCCCAAGGCAGCCGGTCAGGTCCCCTCCATCTTCTCCACCCCGGGCTACGCTCCCAGCTGCACCGCGAGTGACGTTTCTACCTGGGAGACGGCTGGCCTCGAAAAGGTCACTCCCACCACTGCTGTTGGCCTGCAGTCCTCAGCTGTGGCCTCTCCCCGCCCCTAGCGCGAGCCGGCGGCCCCAAGGCCGGCGAGGTCAAGCTCCTCGCGGAGCCGGGGGGAAGGCCAGGGCTGAGGCGCTGCCACGCGTGGCTTTCCGGGCAGGCAGCAGCCAATCACCATGAGGCACACACGAGCCCCCAGCCAATCAGCGCCCGCCTCATTCCCGAGTGCCGTCCGTCCGGGCCCCGCTCCCGGCCCCCCTTCCCTGCGCCTGTAGTCGCGGCTGTGGCTGCAGCCGCCTCCTGAGCTGACCGAGTTCTGGGGGCTCCCTCCCCTGGCGCCGTTCGCGTTCTTCTGTTGCCTTCACTGACGATGAGTCCCTGCGCGGCTGTGTGTGGACCCCGCGGAGACCACCGACGCAGTTTCATCTAGCGACTGGTGAGGGGCGGCGCGTCCTCGCCCGACCGTGCGGGGCGGGCCCAGGCGACGTGGACCTCTCCAGTCTGGGGGCCGTGGGAGGCTCCGGACGCGGGCGGCGCGGCGGGGCGCCGGGGAGAGGGCACTCCGTGGCGCCGTGGCTGCCGCGTTTGGCTCGGCCGGGTCCCTGCCGCCGCCTCCCTCCCGCCCGCCCGGCCGGCTGTGAGTGGCCTGTTGGGGCGATGCGCTGCGTTGCAGTCCCGCCGGACCCGCCCTCGCGCCGTAGCGCATTCCTGGTTCTGGAAGTTGTCTCGTGTCCCTCCCTTGCGAGCATTGGATTTGAAGCCATTGCTCGAAGAGCTCATATCCCTTATCCCCTTCGTGGAGTCACAAGTTTGAGTCCACGCCGGGGACGCTGACTCTGTCGGAAAGAGGGTCTTAAACTCTGAAGTTGAGTGAGAATTGACTGCTATGTAAAAAGGAACCGGTTGAAGAGATATTTGCACTCCCATGTTCACAGAAACACTATTCACAATAGCCAAGATAGGGAATCAACCCAAATGTTCATCAGCAGATGAACAGATAAAAAAATGTAGCATGTGCGTATGTGTATATGCATATGTGTGTATATGTGTATACATATAAACATATACACATATCTGTAGTGGAATACTTATTCAGCCTTACAAAAAGTAGGGAATTCTGTCATTGGCCACAGCACAGATGAACTTGGGGGACATTATGCTAAGTGAAATAAGCCAGGCACAGAAAGACAAACGCTATATAATCTCACCTATGTGGAATCTAAAAGAGTCGCTCTTCATAGAAGCCAAGAGGAGAATTGTGATTGCTGGGGGCTGGGAGGGAAAGGGGAGCGGAAACGGGAGAATGTTGGTCAATGGGTTCAAAGAAGAAGTTCTTGAGAACTATTTTACAGCACGTTGACTGTAGTTCGTAAAAATGTGTCGAAGCCGGGCTCGGTGGCTCAGCCTGTAATCCCGCGCCTTTGGGTGGCTGAGGTGAGTGGATGGCCTGAGCCCGCGGGTTTGAAACCCGCCTGGGCAGCGAGACCTCATCTCTACAATAAATCAAAAAATCAGCCGGGCGTGGTAGCGCGTGCCTATAATTCCGGCTACTCGGAAGGCTGAGGCGGAAGGATCGCCGGAGCCCAGCAGGTCGAGGCTGCGGTGGCCAGGAGCGGCCACTGCACTCCAGTCTGGGCGACAGAGTGAGACTCCAACTCACAAAAAAAAAAAAAAAAAAGAACCGGTCCTTTTTTGGAGGGGCAGAGAAGGTAGAGGCCTTTTGTTCAGGTTCCAAAGGAGCTTTAGTTCAGCTGCGAATTGGGAACTCTGGCCATCTACGTTTACAACGTAGTTCATGAATGAAACTTCAGTGCGTTGGTTAGAAATTGATGTAGCATCTTTTTACTTATACCTTGAAGTAGAGCATTTGAAGTTTATCAGAAATATTGAAAGGAGGTGACTTTCATGAGTGGCAGTATTTATTAAATACCCATGATCCACAGGCTTGCGTAGCCTCTTCTTGATCATTGCCATCCTTTTTCTACTTTGAGTTTTTGATTTTTTAAATTTGTTTTAGAAACAGAAGTAGGGTAGGTGAGGACAGAAAGAACGGTTTTCTAAAAAGAGTTAAATTACAGTTATTTGCAGAAACTTGTAGTCACACCAGCATTTACGTCATGAGATTAAAAAACGTGGCTGTGTTCCATTGTTTACAGAAACTAACTTTGTACTGTATTAAGGACTTTCACTATGCTAAATTCTAAGTAAAGAACTTACTACATTTTTAACCCTCACAAGGCACCTGGATCATAAAATTCAATAGACCATACATAAATGTACCTGTTAAATAAAAGAACTCAGTATTATTTGGTTATTATAAATAAAACAAAATTAATTTACTGTCATAAATAAGGTAGTGATTCTTTGTCACAGCTGAAGATGTGCTTGCCATCTAAAATTTGGGCAATTTCTCTATTGTAAAACGGTATCTTGCATTGAGCTGAAGTTTCTATATCTTGTACCCAGAGGATATTTGGGAAGACATTAGGATAAAATGCAAAATTGATAAAGGTAAATTATTAATTATTTTCTAAAGCAGTAAGTACTTATATTTTAAATTGTGTGATATTTTAAGGGTTACATTAAAAAATTTTTAAAAATTCTTCAATTATGAGTCACTGTTGTGGCTTAGAGCAGTTTTTTTTCTTTTATTTTTTTGAGTGAGAGTCTCACTCTGTTGCCCAGGCAGGAGTACAGTGGCATGCTCACAGCCACGGTAACCTTGTACTGCAAAGCTCAGGTGATTCTTCTGCCTCAGCCTTCCAAATAGCTGGAACCACAGGCCTATGCCACCACACCGAGTTAATTTTTTAAATTTATTGTGAAGATGAGGTCTCGCCATGTTGCTGAGGCTGCTCGAACTCCTGAACTCAGGCAGTCCTCTCTCCTCTGCCTCCCAAAGTGCTGAAATTACAGGCATGAGCCACTGCACCCGGCTTAATGTATTTATTAAATACATATTATATTTCGTGAAATTACGAACTGTGGCGTTCTTACCCCTCCTCTCCCTTAAGGGGCTTAAAATATTTATGTGTGGGCAAGGTATACAAGGTATACACTTACAAGGCAAGTTATTATCATTTTTGCAGATGAAAAACTTCAGAATTAGGGAGCTCAATTTACTGGCTTAAAGTTTTAGATTATAAGATAGGAACTCAATTCTCGTGACTACAAGTAGGGGTGCTGTTTTCTACTACACTATCCTACTTCTCATTGAAAATTTCCTAACTGCCTTTTAAGAGAGCAATTTGGTAGAACAGAATAGGCAGAATCTGGAGTACTTTTCTATTGGTGTGATTTTGGATTGGCTACTTAAACTTTTACATCCATTGCCTCATCATGAAATGTATTTACAGGGACAATAATGCAGCTCAAATGAATTTTAATGAGGATTAATTAAATTTATGTCGAGCACTATGTGAGTCTGTATGAACATTTACAAGATAATATGTATTCTGTTGGTAAGCTATGAGGAAGTAGCAGCCTTGTAAAGACCTGGGTGAAAAGCATTCCAAACAGAAAGTACTGTAATACAGTTATGACATTTTCTGACCTGTTTATCAATATGTCTCATTTCCCCCCTTTTTTCTTAATTTTTATTGGATGATTACCTAATGAATGAATTGCCTCATTTAATTTTCAGAACAAGTCAGGAGGTAGGTAGTTGTTAGCCCCTTTTTACAAATGAGAGAATTGAAGCTCAGGGAAATTAGGTGATATGCCCAGGTTCTCTTAGCTAGTTACTAGTGGTATACCTCTGTTAGGAGCTCAGAGTGTGAACTTTATGTGCTGCATGATCTCTATGCCTAACCGGAATCTTCTTCCCGAGGTCACAAGGCTATTCTTAACATGTGAGACATAGATATTGTTTCATTTTGGTCTTGGGTATGTTAGAAAACAGCATGAACAGATTTGTGTTTTAGAAAGATAACCAAGGATAAGGAAGATTGTAAGCCATTTTCAGGGCTCAAACTTTTTTTGTTGTTGTTGTTTAATTGGAGTCGCACTCTGTCCCCCAGGCTAGAGGGCAATGGCACACTCCCGGCCACCTCAGCCTTGACCTGTTGGGCTTAGGCAATCCTTCCTAGCTGGAACTACAGGCATGCGCCACCATGCCCGGCTAATTTTTTTTTCAAAATTTATTGTAGAGATGAGGTCTTGCCAAGTTGCTCAGGCAGTCCTTTCACCTCGGCCTCCCAAAGTGCTGGGATAATAGGCGTGTGCCACCGTGTCGGGCCCCAGGGCTCAACTTGGTTTAAAACCTTTTTGGTGAACTAAGTGATCAGAGCTGAACCACTGCCTAAAGCTAGCTACTCTCCTCCAACTCAATTTCCCATCAACACTTATATTTATAATGTATACAGTTTTCACCTATAGTTTTTTTTCTTCTTTGTTTAGGTTTGTTTTGCTTTTCTGAGTTTCAAAGTATTCACTCCTTCTTCCTAGCTGTCCTGAGATCCAAGTCAGACACCTGGTAGTTATCACTACCTCTTGCCAATCCTACATAAGCTTTTGGATTGCTCATTTTTTTCCCCTCATCTCTAAGGAAAGGCTTATAAGGCAGTCTAAAAATCTGGTCCATCCTTGTGTGTATAATAGGCCTTATTTCTTTGTGTCTTCTGAATTATTTAGAATTTTTGAAATGGACCAAGATGATTCTAGTGCTTTTATGTTTACTATACCTTCTGCTTTGAATGCATTCCCACCTGAATGTATCAGACAAATGTAACAGCTAAGCATTTCTATATTTGAATCCAAATACGTGTGCAGTATTCATTCTTTAAGTCTTATTTTATACATCTGTAGGAGGTCTCATTCCTGTGGTCGTTTGTTTTATCTTGACCATAAGTTTATAATCATATGTTTTAGTTACTTGTTTAAGTGCAATCAGTCTCCTTTACCAAACTCTTTGATGATAGGGACTTTGAAATAGATCATAAATTTTGCTGGCCACTACAGTTGTTAAACTAGCTGTGCATCCACCTAAGTATTATCCATGAACCTATATTTCATCATTTTATCTAAAATATTTAAGTTCGACTTATTTTTGTATTCTCATTGTCTTGTGACCTACTGTGGATGTGTTGGAGAAGAAGTGTAGCGTAGCAGAAATAGCATGGACTTTATCATTACACAGATCTGTGTTTGAAGTCTGTCTCCCTCTTTTACTAGTGGTATGATTTGGGTAGTGATTTGGGTAGTGTACTTAACCTGTTTGGGATGTAGGTGCTGAATACTTATTTGTTTCCTTTGCCTTCTTCCTCTTCAACAGCATTTTTTGAATGCATAGATAAAAATGACATAGGTTATGGGCTTGGAATTCAGGGAAGATATGTGAGTAGGAGACAGATTTGGGGATTTGTGAACATGTGGGGTAGTGTTGAAAACGTGAAAGGGATTCAGACTATCCAGAGAGAATATGAAGTATAGAGAAAAAGAGGACTGAGGCTAGAACATCGAGAGAAACCCAGCATTTGAAGGTCAGGGGAAGGGATAAGGCCCTAAGAAGTGGTAAGAGAGAGAGAGAGAGAGCCCACACTTAATTGCTTCTGTGACTTCTTGCCCTTTCAGGATCCCTTTCTAGGTCCTTTAAGACATAAAGCAAAGAAGACGAGTGGTAAAGACAGAAAAGCAAAGAAGACGAGTAAGATAAGAATTATTTGGTAATTTGGAGGTCATTGGTAACTTTAGTAAGGATGGTTTTGTTGGAGAAGTATGCAGGTAACAGTGATAGTGAACCTCAAACATGAATTTTAGAGTTAAAATTTATTTATTTTTGTTACAGAATAAATAATAGTAATGAAAACCACCACTTGCTGAATGCATATTTAGTGCCAGGCACCATGTTAGGCAATTTCATTTATCATTACAGTAACCCTGTGAGGATGGTAGCATTGTCTCTATTTTCAGATGAAGAAATGAAGACTTGGAGAGATTACATACATTTCTAGGTTTACAACAAGTAACAGCTAAGCATTTCTATATTTGAATCCAAATATGTAAAAAGCTAGGAAACCCTAGCTGCCAATTACTTCCACGTTTATGTTCATAGTATTCTGTATGTGCTCCTTTCCCTATATGATAGCATGGTATGACTTTAATTTTTTTTTTTTTTTCCCTTTAAGTGTTTAAATTAATAAATTAGAGAATTCTTTTCTGGTGTATCTTAATTCTTTCATGTAAGATTTGAATGATTCACCAGTAAGTAGTTCCTTTCAGGGTATAATTCATACTGAAAATACCAAGATGGTGGAATTTTAGAACTTCAAAAGAATGAAATTAACTATGTGTGATATTTTGCCTGATACAGTAGTCTATCCTTGGAGGACATGGTTCCAAGACCCCGGTGGAGTCCTGAAATCACAGATAGTACCTATATATACTATGTTCTTTGATATGATAAACAAAAGGGCTATTAGGTGCCCAGCGAATGGGTAGTATGCACAGCGTGGATATGCTAGACAGATGTGATCCATATCCCAGGCAGGATGGAGTGGGATGGGCTGAGATTTCATCATGCTACTCAGAAAGGCACACAATTAAAAACTTGTGAATTTAAGTATTTATTTTTGGAATTTTCCATTTAATATTTTTAGGCTGTAATTGAACATGGGTAACAGAGACCGTGGAACGTAAAACCACTGATAATGGAGGACTACTGTATCATGTTTTTCATTTTTAGCATTTTAAACTACTTGAGGTTTTGGTACCTTTTTTTTTTTTGGCTGCTAACTACCAAATACTTGTTTACTTTTGACTCTTAATGTAGTTTGAAGTGGGAGTAGAAAATACAGATTTTGAATGTTTCGTATGTATATTTGAATTGTTGTAGTTTCCCTTGTACATATAATAAACTCCTATATGTTGTTCTGAATAAGTCTTATAACCATGTTCTCTGCTCCCAAACAATATATTAAGGAAGCTCTATAGAGACTATATGTTAAGGATGATTTTTCTCCTTTTTATTTTTAAAAGTTTTAATGTAATTTTTAAACTGTTGAACTTATTAATCTTTTATTTTCAACTTTTGGATCATACTTAGAGAGTCCTTTTGTATATTGTGATTATAAAATAGAGTTTTTTATATTTTCGTCTAGTGCTTTTTTTTTTTTTTTTTTTGAGTTGGAGTCTCACTCAGTTGCCCAGACTGGAGTGCAGTGGACGCTCCTGGCCACGGCAGCCTCACCTGCTGGGCTCTGGCAATCCTTCAGCCTTCCAAGTAGCCGAATTACAGGCATGCGCTACCATGCCCGGCTGATTTTTTTATTTATTGTAGAGATAAGGTCTCGCTGCCCAGGCAGGTCCCGAACCCGCGGGCTCAGGCAATCCACTCACCTCAGCCTCCCAAAGGCGCGGGATTACAGGCTGAGCCACCGAGCCCAGCTCATCTAGTGCTTTTATGGCTTCTTTTGTTTGTTTGTTTGTTTGTCTTTGAACCACCCAGAATTTATTTTGGCATAAGGTATAAAGTAAGTACAGCATCTAAAGTTACTTTTTTCAGATAGCTGTCATTGTTTTAATACCTTTTGTTTAATTATCATTTTCTCCTGTGGTAAAGTACTTTCCAGGCAGAGAAAATGATGCTAATAGTACAGTCCCTGGCACCTAGTAAAAACTGAATGCCTGATGAGTTGTGGTGGTAGTAATGACATAATTTTAGGGGCTAAGGATTTGGGATGAAGGTATTATGAACACACTTAGATTTAAGTGTGTTTATAGTTTGTGGAGACACAGCTAGTAGGGTGTAAAAATACAGGTAAGAAAGAGTGAAGGTCTGGAAGGAAAGAGGTCAAATCCAGAATACAAACAGTGGAGGTTAACTTAAAACATGAGCATAGAAAATGAAAGTAAGGATGATGGATGTAAATATAGATATCATAAATAGGAAAGGTTGGTAGACTTTTTTAATAGGAATTATGGGCCCCAAATATAGAGGTAGTGGTAAAGTATTTAGGAGTGTGAAAGACAGATTTTTAATTTTTACTTTATTTTTTCTTCTCTTACAGGTCACCCTTGCAATTATGGATATTTAAAAGGATCAGACAGTGTGGAGGGGGAGTTCCCCTCCCCACTCCCCCTTGGTGCTTGACTCCAGGAATAATTTATAAACTGTGGAATTTTTTAATGAAGAACTTTTATTTGATATGAACTTTATAGAGCTATTTATAATTTTTTTGATTTAAGTGCCAAAAAATTATATAAAGATATATAGTTTTATACTATTGCTATGAGGATTTAAATTACAATCTTGAAAAGATAATTTATTCTCTCAGTTTTCCTGAATAGCACCTTTGCATCCTGGCTGTTTCATTTTTAAAAATTAGTTTTAACTGACTATTCTGAAGAAGTAAAGCACTATAAAAACTATTAGGATGAATTCTTCCATCCCTGACTGCACATCAAAGTGTCGATCCCTGAAGCATGCTTTGGATGTCCTTGCTGTGGTAACCAAGGGAAGTGAAAACCAGATTAAGGCTTTTCTTGCCAGTCATTGCTACAATGCTGCAACTATCAAGGATGCCTTTGGCAGGAATGCCCTCCACCTTGTCTCTTCCTGTGGAAAGAAAGAGGTGTTAGATTGGCTTATTGAAAAAGGAGTGGATCTGTTGGTGAAAGACAAGGAGTCAGGATGGACAGCGTTGCACAGAAGCATTTTTTACGGACATATTGATTGCGTTTGGTCTCTATTGAAGGTAAGTGTCATTTGCTTATTTAAATGGATATTTAGGTGAGCATATGTTTTTCTTAATCTTTTTCATGCATCCCACATACTTTCCAGAAAAGATATGTGTTTATTCTTAGTTGTTTGCACTTTCTTATTACTGTAACTCATCTTTGGAACAAAAATTTCATAAATTCTTTTTAGTTAACTTTTTTATGATGTAAAATTTTAAGCATATGTCAGAACTTAGTATATATAATGAAGTATTGGACAATTTTGTGTTATTTATACACCTCATTACACCTCATTTTATTTTGAAGTAAATCCCAGGCAGCTTATAATTTAATCAGTACCATATATTGTTATAAGGAAAACTTTAGGTGAAATAAATTTAACAGTTTATTTGAGCAAATAACGATTCATGAATTGGGTAGCACTAAGAACTAGAAGAGGTTCAGAAAGCTCTGCTGCATCATCCTGGGCAGCAGGCTTTATAGGCTGATGCAGAAGTAAGATACAATATATTTGCTTGGTTAGAATGGAGACACCCTAGTCTAGTTAGTTGGTGGTTTCTGATGGGTAAAGTTTCTAGTTTCATTTTATTGTTTATGTTGAGCTTTAGCTTAAAGTGCTAGAGCTGGCCCAGACTAATGGCATCTCTGTCATTTCTTAACAGTATCCTTTAGTATTTTTTAAAAATATGATTTATTCTTAAGCAACTATATTATTAACTATTTTAAAAGGACACTAGTTGTTGAACATTATTTAGGGCCTTTTTTTAGTATCATTTTTATCTCTTGTTTATTAACAAAGTGTTTATAGTTTTAAATAAATTTATAATTAAAATTAATTTATATGAAATTTTCTTTCCAATAGATTAGGTTTGTTGTACTGAATAGCCAAATAATAAAAATGTTTGTAGGTATACCCCAGTGTCATTTCACTAATGAGTGCAAACTACAAACTCACTTTCAAAAGTCATGAGTTTTAAATTTAACAGTTTTCTTTTGTGTGTGTGTGTGTTTTTTTTACGTTTGTGAAGGACTAAGAAAAGAATGAACAGTTCCTGTCCTAAGGAACTCGTAGTCAAATTAGGAAGATTACCTTAAGGTCTTCATCTATTTTTGACTTAAGAATTATTTACATAATGACTTTTTTTTTTTTTCGTACTCTGTCGCCCAGATTGGAGTGCAGTGGCCGCTCCCGGCCACCTCAGCCTCGATCTGCTGGGCTCCAGCTATCCTTCCGCCTCAGGCTTCCAAGTAACTGGAACTACAGGTGTGCACTACCACGCCCGGCTAATTTTTTGATTTATTGTAGAGATGAGGTCTCGCCTGTCCAGACGGGTCTCGAACCCGTGGGCTCAGGCAATCCACTCACCTCAGCCTCCCAAAGGCACGGGATTACAGGCTGAGCCACCGAGCCCAGCACATAATGACTTTTATATAGTGATGTTTACTGATCAAAATAATTTTCAGAGCTGGGTGTGATGGCTCATGCCATCAGCATTTTGGGAGGCCAAGGTGAGAGAAGGCTCATGCCTATAATATCAGCATTTTGGGAGACCAAGATGAGAGCCTATGGGTTCGAGACCAGCCTGGGCAACTTGACCAGACCTCATCTCTACAATAAATCAAAAAAATTAGCTGGGCATGGTGGCGCATGCATATATTTCCAGCTACTTGGAAGACTGAGGCGGAAGGATCGCCTGAACCCAGCAGGTCGAGCCTGTGGTGACTATGAGCGTGCCACTGCACTCCAGCCTGGGCAACAGAGTGAGACTCCAACTCAAAAGAAAAAAAAATAATTTTCATTACATATTGGTAGTAAAATACTCTTTTGGAGCTAAACTTTCTAGGACTACCGCTTACTGAGTCATTTTGGACATGTTTGTGGAAAATCAAACTTCAGTTTTATCTATAAAGAGAGAATAATAATAATAATACTTTCCTCATTATTTTCTTGGGGAATGTCAAACAAAGAAAAAGTTTTTATTGAGTTTACTAATGGTACAGTTAATTCCTCTCATCTCCAAAACCTTTGGGTATATGTTTAATTCCCTTATTGTAATTTCTGTTATAGGGAAAGCTAGGTTGGTATGAGTTCAAGCATCTGTCAGCTCCACTCTTACCCTTTCCCATCTGTAAAACATTGGCCTTTTTTCACTTCCTGCTGGAAAATTGGATAACTACCAATTCTGTTGAGCTTGAGAAGATTCTTAGGTTTTCTGCCATCCCAGGGGTTGCCATTCAGGTATCAGGATTTGGGGCTTCAGTTTGGGATAGTTGTGGTCTGACTTGAACTTTGGTCTTTTCCTGCCTTTGGAATTTATTTTCCTTTAGAGATCCTTAGTCATTCTAGCCACCTTGGCTAAGAGAAGCCTGGAAATTGTGCCTTGGCTACCCTGTCCTTAGCTTGACTGTCATAAATTTTATTATCAGAGCTCTACTGATAAGTGATAGACATAACAGTAGATGAATTCCACTGATACAACTTTCCCACAAAAATCTCTTTTGACTATTTAATATTCTCATGTTGTAGGCTATCTGCCTTTGTTCAGCACATCCTTCCTTTCTTGGCCTTCCAACCCATCTCTAATTAGAAAGGGAGCAATGGTGGATGGGGTCTTCATGGCAGTTCTCCCTCTGATGCAAACTATAGTATTTCAGGCATTATGGATTATCAGGACAAAATCATACACATGTATAAATTTTAAGTGAATTTGCATTTGATAAAACTTAACAGCTATAAAATTTCTAAACTGCTCAGTAAATTCTCAGTTCCTGATTGTTAAAGATATAAAATCTAGCAGAAACTTGTTGCCTACAAAAAACTAGAGTAGAGACAAATTATTTTATGCATCTTTTCTTTGACTTCTTGATTCCATGACAGGATGACTGACAAAGACTGTTCATGCTTAGCTGTGCATGGTGGCTCACACTTGTGATCCCAGCACTTTAGGGGTTCGAGACTAGCCTGGGCAACTTGACAAGACCTCATCGCTACAGTAAATAAAAAAAATTAGCCAGGTGTAATGGTGCATGCCTGTAGTTACAGCTACCTGGAAGGCTAAAGCAGAAGCATCACCCGAGCCCAGCAGGTTTAGGCTGCGGTGGCCATGAGTGTGCCAATGTACTCCAGCCTGGGTGACAGAGTGAGACTCTGACTTAAAAAAAAAAAAAAAGAGAGAGAGACAGACTGTTCATGCTTGTAGGGTCTTGGTGTATCTATTGTTACTATACCATTTTTAAAAATGCTGTTAGTTTACTTATTATTCTGGAAAAACATGATTTAATTTATCCCATTTGTAATTGAAGACCTAACAGATTCATAAGGTTGTTTGTACACATATATTTATGTCTGTTTGTCTACCTATGATCTATCTCTATATCTGTAAAGTATTTGGAACGAATATTTTCTGAGTGCCAGACAGTAATCCAGGTACCAGGGATATTGTAGAACAAGACAGAATCCCTTCTCTTTTTCTTTTGGTTTTGTGAGAGAGAGAGAGAGAGAGAGAGAGAGAGAGAGAAAGAATCCCCTCCTTGTTTATGCTAGTTGAGGGAGAGAGACCAAAACCAAATAATTAAATGAACAGATCAGAAAGTGCTTAATAACTGTTGGTGTATTAGACTTCTTTTTGCATGTAACAGGAACCAATTGTGATAACATAAGCAAAAAATATTAATACCTCACAGAATAAAGAATGAGGACATGATTCAGTCCAATTAACTATCAAATTATAAATAAGACAAAATTTCACAAACTGAAGTAGAATGGTTATTAACTATCATAACTGTTTTGAAATTTTGCTTCTCTCTCCCAGCCCTCAGGGATAATTAGATAATAGGACCAGTTGTCTATTTAAATTATTCCTAGTTTATGGAGTTAAAACCATGTCATTTGAATATTAGAGAATGCTTATTTTTCTTCTCTAGTGGGAGGGCTTCTAGTTAGTTTATCCAAAAGTGCCACACTATCAAAGCTTTAACAGACTTGAAAGAAGGAGAATAAAAACAGCTCTACTTTAGTCCACTAGAAATTATGTAGTCTTGATATATTTCTTTTGATCCTGACTTTCTTGGTAGTATATGGGCAACAGTAACCAGAGGGCTATAATAAATTCATTCAATTTAGTTCATAACCAGTTTGAAAAGATCAGTGTTTCAGATGACCACTTAATGCCATTTGACCTCACCACTTAACTCCATCTGCAGCTACAGTTGTGCATAGGCTTCGAGCAACTTTTGTAGGTGCAATCTGCACCTGTTTCTGGCATGTTCTACATGTTTATCGCTTCTGAGTTTGGCAGTTATGCATGAACTACTGAAAGTACAAGAGAGTTAAACTCGTGTAAGACAACTCTTGGCTAATGGAGAATGGGAGCCTATGGCAAATACTTCTGTCTTTTATCCCTTGATTGGACAGCTAATTATTCTGTGATACATTATTGTGTAAGGCTCCCAGAATATCATAGCAAGATCATGTACAAGTTTCCTTAGTGGCCTACTTGATAACCCATCATGTATTGGTTTTTCTTCTTTCTTTGATTTAGTCTCTGCCTTTTCTACTACTTTCTAGAATCTCTTCCCAAGGAAATTTCCTGAATGCAGATTTTTATTTTATGCTCTGCTTTTGTGGAAGACAGTCAAAACAAACAAAAACAGTTTTCTGTGTTTCCTGACAGACGTCTTCAACAGAGTTACCAGTGTTGTTTGTAGTGGAATGACTGTGTGTAAAGTGTATTGTGTATTGACATGAAATGCTCAAGCTTATAAGCCTAGCATTCACTTAGCTGCTATTTAGTAAGCCAGTGAATTTACTTACTATTTTGGGGGTATACAAAGAGTCGATCACTCATCCTACTACCTTTAGAGTTTAAGATAAACATATTAGAAAGTATTAGGGTCTGCTGGTGAGCTCTAAAGACCAAAAATGCTTCTAGTTCAAAACGGGCAAAAGAAACTCTCCAAGGATCTAGGTTTCTAACTTCTCATTTGTCACATTTATATTTTGGAACACTCTGCCCCAGAATCTATCCTCTTACTTTTATTTAGGCAAAGCTTAGGTCCTCCCTCATAAGTTTATTTTAGGGTGGGAGGGTGAAAAAATCAATTATTTCTAAGATTTTTGCAAGTAGTGGGTGACATACAGTTTTACATTTATTAATAACTTAGATGATTACTTCTAATTTTTGTTTTACTTGTTAGCTCACTAACTTGACTATGTTTTGGCAGACCTTGTGCAAATAGGGAATTGCAACCATATTGAACACAATGAACTTAGTCTTGGTTTAAGTTTATTAGGAATTCATTGTTATGAGGTAAGAGGAAGTTTCTCTTTCTTAAGTAAACCACAGAACATTCCAACATGTCATTGTTAGAGTTTAAAAACTTCGTGGTTCATTTCAGCTTATAACTACCTAGCCTGTAACTACCCAGGTAAACTGTAGTGACTCACACCGGTTAAATAGATAAGTCTAAATAAATGTTGAAAGACTTAAACTGCCAGTGAACATTAAAAATTATTCTTGAGAAGGAGTACGTTTTATATTTTAAAAAACGTAATGAAGGAACAGTAACCTAAATTGAACATTGCTCTCTGACTTTCTTGCACGATCGTGTTAAAGAAGACAACTGGGGAGAGGAGAACGTAATCAGTAAATGGTGCTGGGAAACTGGCTGATCACGTGCAGAAGTTTGAAGCAGAACCCCTACCTATCATCATACACAAAAATTAACTCTAAATGAATCAAAGACCTAAACGTAAAACCCCAAACTATCAGAATCTTAGAAAATGCAGGAGACACCCTTATGGAAAATGGAACTGGCAGCCAATTCCTGAGCAGAACCCTAAGTGCCCATACCATAAGAAATAAGATAGACAAGTGGGATCTCATCAAACTGAGGAGCTTCTGCAGAGCAAAAGAAATCATCAAGAGAGCAGAGAGTCGGCCCACAGAATGGGAAAAAATATTTGCCAACTGTATGTCTGACAAAGACCTAACATCTAGGATCTACAAGGAACTCAAACGTGCCAAAAGGAAAAACAAACAGCCCCATTAAAAAGTGGGTAAAAGACACTTCTCAAAAGAAGATATATGGGCAGCCAATAGACACATGAAGAAGTGCTCAGCCTCACTCATCTTCAGAGAAATGCGAATTAAAACCACATTGAGATACCACCCAATCCCAGTAAGAATGGCCATCATTAATAAAACAAACAACAACAGATGTTGGCGAGGATGCGGAGAAAAAGGAACGTTTATACGCTGCTGGTGGGAATGCAAACTAGTATAACCTCTTTGGAAGACTGTGGTAATTTCTGAAATAACTAGAAATTGATCTTCCATATGATCCAGCAATTCCCCTATTGGGAATATACCTGGAAGAACTCAAATCATTCTACAAAATAGATAGCTGCACACTTGTGTTTGTTGCAGCTGTATTTACAGTAGCAAAAACATGGAACCAACCTAGCTGCCCATTGAAGCTGAACTGGATAAAAAAAAAAAAAATGTACGTATTCACAATGGAATATTATGCAGCCATAAAAAGGACAAACACATGGACTTTATAGCAACTTGGATGGATTTAGAGTCAATCATACTCGGTGATCTATCACAGAAACAAAGAACAGCGTACTATATGTTCTCACTCATGAGCGGACCTTGAACAATTATCATAATACTATGAGAAAGGACTTGCAAAGTGGGAAACTGCCAGGGGAGGGGAGTTGGGATTGGCAGTTGAGGGAAACTGCTAGGGGAGGGAGGAGCACACCTCATCAACAAGGATACCTGCATAATCAACATTTGTATACCTAACTCTGAATTGTACCCCACATCTTTAAAATTAAAAAAAATAAAAATAAAAGGAAGATAAAAAATTGTGCTGATGGGGATGGAGTATGCTGACTGTCTTTTTAAGTGAGACAGAAAATATTCTTGTTCATGTTTGAATTTGAATTATGGATATTAAAGATTACAAATTTAAATTTCTCCTTAAAATATACACATACACACTCAGATATTTTAGATACTAATTAAAGATGACTTGCAAGAGACCATAATTAATGATGTAAAAACTTAAGTAGAGAGAGAAGAAAATATATATCATGCAACTTGAAATAAAATAATATAATTGTCTTAATAATAGATATAGAATTTAAGGCAAAAAAGACATAGGACATAGATGATCACATTATAAAGAGTAAATTCTAATATGAATAGTATGTTACTATTGTCTTAAAATCTTTATAGCTGTTATGTGTAAATGCAAAATGCATGGCCTATGTGCACAGAGTAGGGCCTCATAGGCCATTGGAGCTGCTTCCCCATGGAAACCATTTACATATTGTTAATTTTCATCTAAAATGCGACTTATTTTATTTCTTCTCATTTTCTGGTCCTTTTTTCATTAAGAATTGAAAATTTGATTTTTCGTAGTTTTTTGTGTGAGAGAAAATTGTATGAAAGAGAAGTAATTGTTATCAAATGTTTGTTTTTCTTTTCTCAATGTATTTATGGGCTTGATCATCTGACTTTTTTATATATAAAAATAGGAAATTGCCGGGCTCTGTGGCTCAGCCTGTAATCCTGTGCCTTTGGAAGGCTGAGGTGAATGAATTGCCTGAGCCCGCGGGTTTGAGACCTGCCTGGGCAACTTGGCGAGACCTCATCTCTACAATAATTCAAAAATTAGCTGGGCATGGTAGCATGCACCTGTAGTTCCAGCTAGTTGGAAGGCTGAGGCGGAAGGATCGCCGGAGCCCAGCAGGTCAAAGCTGCGGTGACTGAGTGCGGCCACTGCACTCCAGTCTGGGCGACAGAGTGAGACTCCAACTCAAAAAAAAAAAGAAAAGGAAATTACTGGTTACAGGTAAATTGATAAAATACACACATGTATGTCTGTACTTTTTTCTTTATTTTAGCATGGTGTTAGTCTGTATATTCAAGATAAAGAAGGCTTGTCAGCTTTGGATCTTGTAATGAAGGATAGACCAACTCATGTAGTATTCAAGAATACTGGTAAGAACATTTTACAAATATATTCCATTAAGATATAGCTTAGAAAATTTTAATGAAATTTTATTCTTATTAAAATAATGGGGGAGATTTAGTTATGTGTGGGTATCTGCAGAGAACTTTTACTTTGGTATATGGTGGATATTTTTGGTTTTACATTCAGAGCACTTTGTTTATTTTGCATTTTAAAATTTCAGTCCATATTTATGTCTGTAACCTAAAAGGGGAGGATGGGTGTAACTACTGTAAAGTAATAAATGTGTATCCAGAAAGTAACATAAGCATTTGAGGTAGAGGGAAAAAGAGAATAGAAATGATCATTCTTCTATTCACACATTCTAATTTCACTTATTCCTCCAATTTCTTTGCCCTTTGAGCTTTGAAAGTGAGAAATGGAGGAAAAGGAGAAGAAATTTAAATGGGGCACTGTGTGGCTTGCATTTAACTAGTGAGCAAGTTAAGTTGCATTTAAGTAGTGAGCAAACTAAAAAACATTTTTTTTTATACCTTGGCTTCTGTATTGCAAGTAACAGTCATAATTACAAACGAGGACTTTGTAAGTCTTCTAAAATAAAAATAAAAATTTATACAATTGAGTTACCTGTGATTAAGTTTTATTCCAGTTTAATGAGATATTACCCTAATCATTAGTGTAATTTTGGGTCTATCAAAGTATGAAAGTATGAAAGTTAACATTTCTGTAGAAATAGTAATAATGCATTTGCTTCATTTAGGAACTCTGTTTGCATGGACTAATAACATCTTACATTTAAAATAACTATATTATTTTCATGGAAATTAAGTAGATATGGCAGATGCTATTTTACTCATTTGGCACTGAAACTTAGTTACTAAAGAAACATGGAGCAAATGTTCAATTGCTTATGTTGAGACAGTCCTGTACTATGATTTGAATTTTCTGTTTTTTGTTTCTAGGATTATATTAATAGATTCATGGTTTTAAAAAAATGAATGCTGGCATCTTTCTGAATATCATAGATTCTTTTAGAGAGTCATTTTTATGTAAGATGATTAGTAGAAATATAGTTGAACTAAACTAATATTTGTTTTAAAATATAAAAGACTGTATAAAAACTACTTTTTATTTTAGATCCTACAGACGTCTACACTTGGGGTGATAATACAAACTTTACCTTGGGTCATGGAAGCCAGAATAGCAAATATCATCCAGAATTGGTCGATTTGTTCTCCCGGAGTGGGGTTTATATCAAGCAGGTATTTTTGAAGTACAGTCTGCGTAGTTTTAGAGATTAACAAGAAAAAACTTTGGTATTTGATTGTTTACCTTTTCATTTAGATTTTTAACTGTGTTGAAGGTACAACAACATATTTTGATGAAGAAATCAGTCAACAGACCTTTACTAATTTTATCTTTGGTACTGTTAGCCTTAATCATATTTAGACTGTTTAGAATACCCTAAAAATGAGTTTATTTGTGCAAGTAGTGTTAGAAATTAGAAAATGCTACACAGATATTAATTTTAAGAAGGTAAAAGGTAGAACTTCTGTTAATTTTCTAGTTTTTGTTTCTATTTAACATACATTAGAATTTGTTGTTTCTCTAGTCAATTTGTTGTTGAAGTTCAGTATTTTTAAATTTTAATTTTTTATTATAAAGATGTGGAGTACCAGTGAGGATTAACTACATAAGTGTTATTTTTCATAAGCGAACCCGAGGTATTTTTTTTTTTCTGGTGACAATAAAACATAAAATAATTTTAATTTGGAAAACAACACTCCTTGGATTTTTTATAACAAATTTGTTTTGTTTTGAGTTGGAGCCTCACTCTGTTTCCTAGACAGGAGTGCAGTGGCACGCTCACGGCCACCGCAGCCTCTACCTGCTGGACTCAAGTGATCCTTCCACCTCAGCATTCCAAGTAACTGGAACTGTAGGCGTGTGCTGCCATGCCCAGCTAAATTTTTGATTTATTTTAGAGATGTGATCTTGCCAAGTTGCCCAGGCTGGTCTCGAACCCCTGAGCTCAGGCTGTCCTCTCGCCTCAGCCTCCCAAAGTGCTGGGATTACTGGCCTGAGCCATCTCGCCCGGCTAACAATTTGTTTTTAGGTTCTAAGCTATTCATCATGAAGATAATGCATATAATCTGAAGTGAAACTGTCTACCTAGCAGTCTAGTTAGGATGTAGATTGTTTAACTCTGGGTCTGGTAGACTGCCAACCATTCTGAATGTTTTTACATAGATGAGCAATAAATAATTAAATGTCTATGTCATAGTTCTCAAACTGAACAATAGAACTAAAATTTCATCTCTTTTGGAGACAGATAAGCAGTTTTGAGAGTAGGATTCAACAGTTTGCCTTTAGGTGCTCTAGGCATGAGTGATGCCTTTTCATGAACCTGAGTTTGTTTTTTTTTTGAGTCGGAGTCTTTTAATTGATATAATTGTAAATGTTTGGTTTTTGGTTTTATATATTTATGCTACTTCTACTTTCATATAGATTCTGCTACTGTTCACTCTTATAACATTGTGGGGTGTATGTGGTTGTATGTGTAATTATATCTCTAACCTTAGTCTTTCTCTTGTACTTTATTTCAATTGTACTCTGCTGCTTCTTTCAAGGTATTATAATTTAACATATCTAAAGTACTATCTTTGCCACTTCTCAACTTCTTTACTTAATCTTTAAGGCTATAAGTCTCAGTTGTAAAGCCTGAAGATTATACCTCACAACCATGACTGTTGAGTTCATCTCTGTCTCATGAGCCTAGCTGCCATGTCTTTTCAAACTCTTTTTGACAATGACAGCAATGTCCTAACTTGACTCCTTGGCCCCATTTGTTTCCAACCTCTGTTCATATTCTTCTCCAGAATGATTGTCTTAGAAAAACGTCTAATTATGTCCTTACCTGCTAATTCACCTTTGGATAAAATCCAAACTCTGGTTTATAATGTAAGTCCTTTTTCAATCTTCTTAAATTACTTTTTCAGCTTACATTTCCCATAACTTCCTAGTTGTATTCTTTTGAAGGTTTTGAAATGACTTTTGCATTTTGAAGTTGATAAAACTTTTTATTCAGAATATGAACTTAAAATGTTTTTATTACTATAGTAATGACTCTTCTCAACTCTCACCTGTTATTCATGTGTGGTATAAATAACAGGTATTTGGCTTATCTTCTGAGATTGAATTCTCAGATAATTTCTAGAACTACTTTGACTACATGTCCCTGGTGTGTCTAGACAGTTCCAGTTTATGAATATTTTCCTGGTTTAATTGTTTCTATCCCCTTTCATTCTCAAAAATATTTGGATGATGAATTATGTGGCCATCATATTTAGGGCTCCATAGACGATGGTTTTTAAAACTGAAAGTTGCAACGTAATGGATCAAACAGCATTTTAAAACAAAATAGAATCACTAAACTCTGGAGAATATTACCTTTTTTTGAGTCGGGTTCTCGCTTTGTCACCCAGGCTGGAGTGCAATGGCACAGCTCACTGCAACCCAGGTTTGAGCCCAGGCTCTAACTCTTGGGCTCAGGCGATCCTCCTACCTTGGCCCCCCAACATGCTGAGATTACAAGTTGAGCCACTGAACCTGACTGAGAATATTACATTTTGAAGTCCAGGAGCAGAAACTCATATGGGAATGAAATGTGGGTAGAGAAGTGGGGAAGTTGAACGATGTCATGAAGTCTAGGATGCTAGCGGGCCTTTCGTTATAGACTTGGAAGGATCTTAGGATAATGAAAGGACTTGGGATGGACAGAGGTCAAGCTTGGTGTTTGAGTCCTTAGTTAATGTGAGGGATGTGAGCCCGATGGTGAGAAATTAGAGCAGGAGCAGCAAATATAGCAGAGTTGTTGGCAGAAATTGCTAATCAAAAAAAATTTTTTTATGCTGTACTTGAGCAGTTCCTCAGAATTCTTCTTAAAATGATAATCCACCCATTAGCAGCCACTAATGATCAACTGAAGTTGTGGCACAAGAAAGATACCTGTTTTCTTTCCTGAGTTAATACTTGGTATTACCCTTATTTCATGAACTGTTAAGAAGCAAGGAGTTTTAGACAAGAGTGAAGGAATAATGGTGACATTAGGAAACCAGAGGCTGATTGACCTGTCTGATGCTACAATACATATAGACTAAAAGAACTGAGCATATTTTATTTGATAAGGTTATGAGTGAACCAGTACACTCAAAAAGAAAGCCACTTTTCAGGTAAGACAAGGAAATAGGAGTCTTTTGTGAAAAGATTAAGGATCTAAGGAATTTTATTTACCACAGAATGAGGGTCAAACAAGCACTATGGATAGGTTTGAGAGGGAGAAAAGCAGTATGTGTTTCAGTCAGGGAAGAGAAAGCAAGTATGGGAATATTTACCAAGCACTAATTATGTAGTGATCCCAGTTAGTCACTGAAAAAGGACTGATTCTGTAGTATAGTAATTAGTTACTGTGAGACAGAATTAGTTACTGTGAGACAGATAATATTAATGTTAGCATTATATATTCCAGAGAATTAAGGTGAAAAGCTATGTTCAGTTGCCTCATTTAAGCATGCAGAGGTTTTAAAGTTGGGGAACTTAAAACTGTCTAGTATTACTGGTTCTTTAATAATAGGAATCAGAAATTGTAGCATGGCATTCTAATATTGATTATAAAATTAAGCAAAATGTATTTTTTCTGATTTCATAAAACATATTTTTCCTGACAAATTTTAACTTTAAAATATGAATTTGGGCTTTATTTTTTTTTTTATTAAAAAAATTACTTTTGAGTCAGGGTCTCACTCTATCACCTTGGCTGGAGTGCAGTGACACAATCACACATTTTTTTATTTTTTTGTAGAGATGTGTTACCTAGGTTGGTCTTGAACTCCTGGACTCAAGTAGTCCTCTCACCACAGGGCTAGGATTATAGCACTTATGTATTCACATACTCTGGAAGGATAAAACCTAGCCAGGTCTTATTTTTAGATTTCTTTTTAGGTATTTGTGGTACAGCTAAATGAGATAATGTTTTTTCCATTACTTTTTTTTTTTTGTTAGGTTCATTGTGCTTAGAGGATTCTGAATAGTCTAAGGATATGTGTAAATATTTAGTTTGTTGTTCAGCTTATAATTTTATTATTTTCCAAAGGACTTTGATTTCCTGGAAAATGTTCCAGGATTTCTTTATTTTTTTCCATCTCTCTCTCTCTCTCTCTCTCTCTCTCTCTCTCTCTCTCTCTCTCTCTCTCTCTC